TGTACGGTACCCCTGCCATGTAGTTGTCGTGGAGGCTGTTGGGAAACTGCTCGTATCGTGTCTGATGTGAGCGGAGCCTGTCGATGTAACTGTAGAAGATTGGGTCCCATGTGTTGTGTACGAAGATGATGCGACGATTGCAGATGAGTGTGTGCCGGTCGCCTCGTCTCGCTGCTGCACTGTGTGTCGCGATCACTTGTGCTGCGTGGGTTGGCAAGTAGGCGTACAATGTGGCGTAGGTCTGGGGCGCCATGGCGTCCTGCGGTAGCTCCTAAATCCAGCGCTGTGTTTAGATTTCTTCGGGTGGTGGGCAGTGATTGGTATCTGGAGTGCTGGTGGTGGTGGATGCGCTTGTATGGCCGATCTCATGGTGGGAGACCACTTGGCGATCGCTTGTGTGTGAGGTGATCGTGGTGTGATTGGCGTTGGTATGTCTTTGGCGATGTAGATGGTCCTTGGTTGTTGTGGTTGCTTGTCGGTTGCGTAGGTAGGAAGAGGTGGTGGTAGCTTGGCTGGTAAGGTATTGGTCGAGGTCGGTGCAGTCGGAATGGTGGTCTGGTTGGGCTGGTGTCATGGCGTAGAGTTGGGGCTGACGCTTTGTTCTGGTACCGGTATGGTTGCTTTGGGTGTGGTGTATGGCGTGGTGGGGAGTGGTGGTGCTCTCTTGACAGGCGGTGTATTGGTGTTTGGCGGTGTGGTTGGTGCTGCTGGTCTGTCGGAAGGTGTCTCTGTCGGAAGGTATCTATTCGGCCTGTGTTGCGGGCATGTTCCATTGTGGTGGCAATGTGGGCGCTCGTTTCTTGGGTATTGGGGTCTGTTTGCTGGGTGGAGGTGCTGTGGGTGGTGGTGGTTTGTCGTGTTGGTTGTCTTCCGTTTGTGTATTCTCCTCGCTGGTGCTGTCGTTGTCAGTCAGTCTCGTGGGTATGCTGGTGTTGATAGTGATGGTCGGGTTGCATATTTATTGGAGCAGTATTGCAGCGTCCCGTAGGTTGACCGCCCAGTCGAGCTCCATGTGGCTGTCGTCGTTGTGGCAGGTGTTGAGCCATTGCGCAATTTCTTGTATTGCCGCAGTCTTGTTGGGGGTGAGTGGTGCATGTCCTCCTGTCAGAAGTGTTTGGAATGGTTGGCTTGTCGTTGCAACTTGAAGTCGGAGTGCTGCGTTGTCCCGGTAGTGGGCCGCGCATGCATGTATGTTGTTGCCATAGCGAGTGAACGTCAGCTGCTTGGGCGGCTTAGCCATGGGTAGGTGTGTGTGTGTGTGTCCGTGTGTGCTACGTCTTTGAATTTGATCCTCTTGGTTGCGGTCTTTGGTGGGAGAGTGGTCGTGGTCGTGGTCGGTTCTTGTTTTTTCGGTTTTTGCTTTTTGCTCGTGAGTCGGGTCGTAGAGGAGGATGTGATAGATACTGTGCGCCGTCCTGATGTGCGAACATCTCGTTGTTGTATTTGTCCAGGTATCTGTGCCATCCAGGTAGGAGCAGGTCGTCGGTGGGGAACCTGTGTGAGTGCGTATTTGACTGCGCGTGGTAGTAGACTGCGTAGTGCCATTTGTCGTCGTTGCAGCCGTCGGTGTCGGTGTCGCTGGCGTGGTGGCAGTATGCTGTCCATCCGCATGGCCAGTGCATGTCGTGGTATTGGTTTGGTTTAGGTGACAAAAGGTAGAAATCGTGTGTGTGTGTGTGTTTGAAGCTGCGTTCATCTTGGCACATGGATCGTTGTAGTCGATGCTTTCGTCAGAGTCTGTTGTGTCGCAGAGTAGGTCTGGTATTCCTGCCCATGGGTTGGTCTGTGCTTGGTTGCTTGCTGGTTGTGTTGCTGATGGTTGTATAAGTGGTGTGGGCAGTTGTGCAGGTGGAGGCGGTATGGAATCGTAGCTGACGTCGGGCCTTGATTTGTTGCGTTTGTCCTTTTTGCTCTTGAAGGTGAGGTTGGGGATAACTTGCTGTGGTGGTCGAATTTGCGTGTGTCCAGTGCATTTGTGTCGCGATTTGTCCAAGTGCTCGTAGCATCCTTTTTCTATGTCGTGTTGTATCGCCAGCTGCTGCTGTACGAAGTCGTGGTATGGGTAGTCGGCAGGGATGCCGGTAGTAAGCCATTTTTTGTAGTGATGTACTTAAAATGTTTGAACTTGAATTGCGGTCCATGAGGGTGGGGTTGTTCCATGAGGGCTGGGACTGGATGTATGTGGGGTTGCGCGTGAAACGAATAGTGCGGTCGTTAGGGTGTAGGACCAGTATGGGCGTGGGTACCAAGTGGTATAGTATACGTGGCCATTGTGGGTTTTCCATTGTTGGCGCTGTTAGCCTCCTCCTCCTCCTCCTCCTCCTCCCTTTCCCTTCTTCTCCTCATCTTCCTCTTCCTCACGTGTTCCCCGAAGGGTTTCAACGACGGCTAGGGGAACACATGGTCCGATAGCTTGGCCAAGCTCTGGCCCAACTTTCGGCCACACAGGTGCTTCCGAAAAGGCAGGTGGTGGCGGTGACTCGCCGTAGGCGTCGTCGATAACTACTGTCAACGACCAGCGTGCACGCTGAAGGAATGGCCCCTGCTGGGGAGCAGGCCCGGGGGCGCCTGCAGCCCACAGGGCCATCGGGGGCCAGCCTGCGCAGCTCTTGCGGATGGGGGCAGAGGGGCAGGGGAGGGGTAAGACGAGGCCAAGACGAGGATGACATCGGGCGCGGACCTTGCCCAACACCGTGCCGATCTGGCGCATTGGAGCCTTGCCCAACACTGTGCAGCACCGGGCGACAAGCAGCGCAGCGCGGGAGCGCCCAAAGGTCAGCCCAACGCCAGCCCGTGGAGACCGTCGGAGCCAGAGGAACACGGGGATCTCTGGGGTAAGACGAGGCCAGGATGAGGATAAAATTGGAGAGGATAGATCGAGAATCTCTGAGATCCGCCAGCTCTGGAGGATTTCTCAGGCGCCGCGGCCTTCTCAGAGCGTTCCAGAACGCTCGGAGAGTCTTCCGGAACGCTCTGGAACGGACTTATCCTCGTCCTAGCTCCGCCCGACCCCCCTCCCTAAGACGAAGCCAGGGCATGAGGACGACATCGGACACTGATAAATCGAGAATGTCTGAGATCCAGCGGCTCTGGAGGATGTCTGGGGCGCCGCGGCCTTCTCAAAGCGTTCCAGACTGCTCCGAGTCTTCCGGGACGCTCTGGAACCGACTTTACCCTCGTCCTAGCCCCGGAGGGCCAGACGGCGACCGAGGTGGGCGCACGGCTGGGCGAGAGCTGGAAGGCTGAGCCCTCCCTCCTTCCTCGCTTCTCCGCTCTCCCTGCTTACCTCCTCGCTGCTCCTGCCTCGATCCTCGCTCCGCCCCGTCCTCTTCACCCTCCATTCCTCGGCGGGTTCCTCATCCCTCTCTTCTTCCTCGTTGTCTTTGTCGCCCGCTCATCTTGCAATGCTTGTCCTAGCCCTTCACATCCTCCCCCTCCTCCTCCTGCTCCTCCTCCTCCTCCTTCTCCTTGTTTTCCTTCCCCCTTCGCCCATCCGCCTCCTCCTCCTCCTCCTCAACTTACACGAACCTGCTCGCAATGATGCCTTCTTTTGGGACCCCTTCCCTTCGACTTGCCTCCTTCCTTACTCCCCTCCTCCCTCTACTGCTCCCATCTTGCTCTCCTCGCAACGCTCGTCCCTCCTGCATGCGCCACTCCTTTCGCCCCCCCTCCCTCCTCCTTTCCCCTCCTCCCCGCGCCCTTCTCCCCTCCCTCTTATTGTACACGACGTCACCATCGCCATCATCACCTTCCTCGTCCCCGCACGCAGCTTCGCGCGACAGGCCACCCTCATCTGATTGCAAGCCACGTCGGCCCCTTCGGGTATGTTCCCGAGGATGGCCGAGAGAGCCCTACAGATCTCCCCTCCGTCGGGCCCCGCCCCAAAGGAGTGCCGCACCAGGCAGCCTAAGGATGCGGCCCGCCCCAGGGATGGCCCGCGAAGTTGGCGGAGGATGGGCCGAAAAGGCATAGGTACTTCTACGTACCTCTACGTACCTCCTCCCCCTATCTCTGATCCTCCTCCTGCCCTCCTTTATCTCCTTCGCCCATTCCTCTCTCCCTCGTCCTCTCCCCTTCTCTCTATTCCATTCCCGCCCCCCTCCTCCATCCCTTTCTTTATCCATAGCTTCTCTGTCGCACCCCCAGACATGCCTGTAGGGCGGGCCTGGCGTGTCGCCTGAGACTTCCCCACCATGTATGAACCTGTCGATTGAAATCTTAAGTAACTACTGGTGTGGAGGCGGTGGGGGGTGGGGGTGGTGTTTAAAATGGGGCTCGCGCCCTAGCGCCGAGCACACTCGAGTCAAAAGCTTGCAGCAATTACACAGATGGAACACGGGTCGTTGTCAAAATGGGGTTATCGCCTTAGCGCCGTGCACAATCACTTACGCCTCACTAGCGTACAGCAGGTATAATGAGGAAAGGCCAGTTCCTAGTTCAAAATGGGGGTCCAGCGCCGCGCACGTTGGTCTTCAAACCTTGCCACGGTTACACGGCTGCGAAACAATGTTTGGGTTGTTGGAACAATTGGGTCATCTCTGGAGGCTTCCTTAACTCAAAATACACAAACTGCAGCAAATGCAGCATCTGCACGGATCAGAACCAGCTCTATTTCAAAATGAAGCTCTCTCCTGAAACTGCTTCGAATTCATGACCAGCAACGCGTGAGCCTGTGTCACAATTACACGGATGGGGGGCGGTCCTCTTCAAAACTGGGATCTCGCTGGACACCTCGTTGAACTGTATGACCAGATTTGGACGTTCATGACTACGCGCTGGACAAATGCAAGGCAGTTCCTTCCCCTCCTTCTCCTCCTCCTCCTCCTCCTCCTCCTCCTCCTCCCCCTCCCCCTCCTCCTCCTCCTCCTCCTCCTCCTCCTCCCCCTCCTCCTCCACCTGCTCCTCCGCCTCCCCCGCGCGCGCCCGTGGGAGGAGACGGAAGCGACGAGGGCGAGGACGAAGACGATCCGTAGGACGACCCAAAGGCCCCCACGCTGCGCCTGCGGGGGCTCTTCGAGCCGTCCTTCTCCCTGGAGCGCTCCTCGCCGCC